TTATAACCTCAAAGTAAACACATACATTGTTATTGCTATCTCTGTTTATTCAATGGGAATGAGTAGGATGTCGTATTCTTGTGTTTATACTTATTAGTTTGTTACAAGAGAAAATAAATTGGACTCGGTTATGACATGTAATAAAGTAACTAATATTGTTTCACAATTTTCTTCGTAAAAGTCTTTTTTCAGAATATTTTCATTTGGAGATATCAATAGAGATTCCAATAAGAAATTTTATTGGTTTAAAAAGTATTTTTTTGGCGATCTCTGAATATTTTGATAAATGGATACTACTTAATAATTGTAAGAGAGAATAACTATATAATATTTTATTATTATTAAATAATATAATATGTTTTCAGTTAGTTCATAATGACTTCCTGTAGGTCGTCCTTTCCTTTCCTTTTCTTATATTCAATGATAATTTTCCCAATGAAAATCGGCTTATTTCATGTGTCAGCCACGTGTATCTACAAAACTACCTTATCCCATATTTTGGTCTTAAGTTCACAATCCTGTCTACTCAAATTTATCAAAAAATATAGAGATTTACTTCTAAATTTCTAGATACTATTCTTATATTAATTAAATGATATTCTGATCTAAAATGGATTCTTAGTTAAAATCAATATTGAAATTATGAAATAGCAAGAACTTTTGAAAGATCATTAAATTGGGATTAACTACAAGATTTTGCTATTGGGTAAAACTATACACATGTTCAAAAGTCACGAAGCACAACTCACCCTGTGATGTTTCCACGTTTTTCCACTCAAGGGAATGAAGGGAAAGCGGCAATGGCCCAACTGAAAACAACGAGGCGTCAAGGCATAACCGTGGAATCCGACACGGGCCCTCGGCACGGCACTGCACGCTCACCGGCACATCGGAGCTTTCACCACAGACGAATACAGCAGATAACAAAGCAAAAGAAATCACGCCACTACGTACTATATAAACAAAATTCGTTCTATATAGTCTGAACACTTGGTCGAAGAACACCGAAAACCGTTTCGAAAATAGCCACGCTTTCGTATTTCGAAAAAGCGGGCGCGCGCACGCAAGCGGCCCGCTCTTTTGAGCGCCGCGTCGCGTTTCCATTTCGGCGCGCGTTACGTCGTTTCGCTTCTGAGGGAAAGAGACGGATATTATTTCCAGCGCGCAGCCTCGAACCCTAGGCGAGTTCAATGTACCGGCCTCCTCCGTGGGCGCGGGCGACGGCTTGCCTCCCGCTCGCACTCGGTACCGTCACCGCGCGCTCGACAGAGAGCGCCGCCGCCGGTCCACTTTTTGTTCTGAACTTGAATTTCGATCAATATACTGCGACGCGATCCATCTTGGTACTTGCAGTTTATTTTTTTAATTCTCTTTTCATCGTTGTGTAAAAAGGGTGCGGTCACGATCTTGAATCCTTTTTTTTTTACTTTGAAAAATCTTACGTTTAGAGTCACAACCAAAACAAAAAGTTGGCGATGAATACAAAAAGGTGACAATCAAGAACATTGATAATGATTGAACATAATTGATTAGCACACATTAAAGTAAAAAAACTTCGAGCAACACACTTTCACTAATTATCGTTGAAAGTGCGCTGCGAAGGTAAAAAAAAGATTGTATCGTACGCATACTTGTATGTGGAGTTAATTACACACGTTTGCGCATAAGGTTGTCTACAGACGAGAAATAGTAAGAAGTAGATAAAAAGTTGCAGGTTAATTAACAGGCTTAAGTTGTAAATTAGTAACATTTATAGATCTGGCTTGTTAATATTAATAAACTTGTAATTAAATAGCACACTCATTACATGTTAAAGGCATTAAGAATAAAAAGTAATGTCGATAACTAAAACAGGAATTGTGTCACATTAATATAATGTCCAGTGCGCTAAAGAGTAAGACACGCAGACGAACTATGCGATTCATACTGGCCTGGCAACAGCAGATTCACGGACGCCTATTTATAAGTCTTGCGCTTGCCAATTAGAGGTCTAGACTGTACACTGTGTAAATTAAGATATAGCTTGATAGCGTGGTCCAAGTTTGATGCAAAGGATTTGTTATTTAAATTTTACTGATTTTGTTCGTTAATTATTTTCGGTTATTATTATGCCTTTTTTATCAATTTTTTGTTTTTTCTTTTTACTTAAATGAGAGTAATGAAAAGGATTTATATCAACCAGATTTTTTTATCGTTTAATGTTAATTTTTTTTAATTTAATGAAACTATAAATTCTTATAAGTATTACATGTACTCAAGTAAACATGTTTTTATCGATTGAATCTTTGTGTTCACGTAAAAAAGAACGAGTTTCAGTAATGACACCGCAAGATGTTATTTAAATATCAAGTACATACATTGTATCGTAAACACTATTAAATTTTGGCGTGTTACGAGTTGTTTTTTTAAGTCAATTGCAGCCATACAAATATCAAGGACATAATTGAGAAAAACTGACTGGTAAATTGTTTTTACGCACAAAATCAATATCACCATTGTATTTCAGTAAAGGACAAATTCGTTTTCAATGTTTTTGTTTTTTTTTTACAAAATGTACAAAGCAAGCTGTTCTATAGTTTATTTTATTTTGTAACCCCTTTTTAGATGAACCTCATAAAAGGTCTCAACAAACTAGTCTTAAATGACTTTACAAGTAAAGCTAATTAATAACCTCTAAACAACGTAAATACCAAACATTTTTGAACAGCCAAAAATGTATTTTTCTTAGAACACTCTAGTAACTTTATGGTGCTAAGCGATTGTTGCAAAAAATTTATTTTTAAAATAAATATCTGATGAATCTACCTACAACTTTACTGCTATTAAATATATTGTGAAAGTAAGAAAAAACTACTATAGTTTGGCGAATTAATTAAACTTGGCCAGACAAAGTATCAAAGAGTAGTAGTCGTGGTACGCCGCCCGCCGACGGGGCCGCGCTGTAGGCGTCACTGTGCGAGCGATACAGCTATATGTTGCGCTGCTTCCTTACGTACGTTGCGCGGGCGCAGCGTCGATACCGGCTTTTACCTTTGCACGCTTATTTCCCTAGAATTGGATAGAGTTTTCGAAGAAAGTTACCTATGGTATTAGAACCAGTACCCTACTGTATTTATTTAACTCAACAGATGGGTGAATCTTTGAATATTTTAAGTTTTATTAGGGGAAAATGATTAATATAGATTTATAACAATTACTAAATGTTTAATGCAATGGAGTCCGTTATTGAAAGCTACATCTGGGCTCTTCTTTACAATTCAAAGAAGAAAATGTCTTTTTTTGTATTAACGATAAATATAAGCATTTTGCATTGTCACTACTTTCGTTCATAAGGGCCTGTCCCACCAAATTGTAAATCGTCTGATAACAATCGAACGTGTAAAATACGTGTTGGAAATATCCGATTTTGTTCCCTTATCTGATAGTGGCGTCATTTTTAAACTATCTGAGACTCTATCAGCCAGTGGTGGGACAGGTGCTACAACTACTTTTAAAACATTAGTTTTTGTAAAATCAATTTCCAATATGAGATAAAGGAGAAAGGGAGTGAAGGAAGGAACGGAGAAGAATTTAAAAGCAGAAGTATAACACCCACATGATTGTCACTTTTTTTTTTCTCGTACGAAAAATTGGCTTAGATTTTTTTGATTGTGTATTACGTTTTTATATTTTTCCTACGTCAAAATAAATATACTAAAGTAATCATTAGAGAACCCATACTACTATTATAAAGAGTAAAGATTAGATCTGTATTGAGTAGGTTCCGAAACTACTGAAGCGAAACAAAATATCTCTCGCCATTAGAAAGCTACATTGATTTATAGACTCCTAGCTTTCTTAGCGACCCCGTTCGCATAGAATAAAAAAAAAGTAAGTAAACCTACGTGTTCTTCCAGACTATCCTCTACATCTATGCCAAGTTCAGCCGTTTAGGCTACAAACTCAAACAAACATCCATCCATCTAAACTTTTGCATTTATAATATTAGTTACGAAATTAGTATGTTAGAGGATGTTTGAGAGTAGTCCCAGTGGTAGAGAAGGTAAGGAGTAAAAGGTTGGCATGGTATGGGCATGTTATAAGGAGGGATGAATCGCATGTTACAAGGAGAACGTTAGTTATGAGTGTGGAAGGGTACACCTGTGGAGGTAGACCTAGAAAGATATGGATTGCGTGACATGATAGAGAAGGGAGTGATGACTAAGATGACGATAGAGTTATGTGGAGGACAAAAACCTGTTTTGCCGACCCTACGGGAGTATGGTAAGGAGGATGATAAATATTAGTTGGATACAATCAACGGGAAGGGTATGGATGTGACAGAAAAGATAAGAGATATATACTTTGCGAGCCAGTCGAAGTTGGTGTGGATAGCTAGTAGTATTGTAAAATATTATAGTATAGTAGTAGGCATTAACAATGTTAATTATTACAAATATTAATTACTAGCTGTTTCCGTGCGACTTCATCCGCATGAAATTATTAATATTTTATTTATATTTTTTACATTTGTCAAATTATCAATTACAAATGTCAAAATGACAATCTTGCTTCCTTGATGTTGGCAGCAACTTATGGTCTCTTTCCCACATTAGGGTTTTTATCCAAAATGTTCACCACTTAAGATTAATGGCGTTAAAATATAGGTATAGTCTAAAGACGCAATTTTAGAGCTTTTGATTAAAAAAAATGATTATTCAAAAATATGGTGTAATTGCTGACATCTTGGCAAAAAAGAAGTGTGTGTTTACGCTTTATTATAATATTATAGATTAATTATAAAGCCAAAAACTCTTATCTGTATTATTTGTAACATTAATTAAAATAGCAAAGCGATAAACGGATAATTACTACTAAATGGTAATAATTAAAACAACTAAACAAAACTTTGGTAATGTTAAAGTTATAACTGCATATTAAAAAAAAAAGTATTTCAGCAGCTCCTGTGTATATAACATTAAATGTGTCATAATGGTGTCATAAAAATCAAAATGTCTTACCGAAATTGTTTACCCTCATTTTTTCAAATTTATAATCTGAAACAATAAAATGAATATTATTAGATTACAATTTAAAAAAACGCGATGAAATAAATCCTAGATATAGAGTTTATTATGCTTTATGAAAAAAAGCGTATAAAAATAGCTTAAACAAAAAAAAATCAAGTTAAAATAAAAAATGCTAGGGGGGGGGGGGTTATTTTCGACAGTTATTTTTCCACTGCTGATTATGTTAGTCTTGTGATCTCGATTGCCCTTTGTAATGTCCTTAGAATGACCCTTATGTCTTCTTGTGTAGAGTGCATATCTCTTTGATGTTATTAGGATAATGTGGAACTCTTGTTTAGGGAGGAATCCATTCATTTGTAAACCTTTAATGTCAATGGTCAACTGTGTGGTTAGAACAGTCTAATTAACTAGTAGGACTTATGAACGGGTGAGGAGGGAAATATCTACTAATCTTGGGTAGTACACGTACAATGTACTAAAAAGTAATGCTACTTAGCACTGTACTAAAAGTAACATTACCGAACGGCTTCTGTTAATCAGACATTTGGCACTTTTAGTACACTACGCAATATCAGTGTTTGCCTCTTTATTGTTTGATTGTATTGAATATTTGCCAGTTTGAAGCATCCACCTTCAGTAATGAGAATCAAAAGTGGATAAAATTGTTTATAACTTAAATTAACATATGTTTGACCCTACTTAAAATTTGATGTGAAGGAATCTGTAACTTTCGTTATATTCTATTTATGTTATTGTTTACTCACGAATCTGAAGTACTAAAGGTACTAAAAGTGTGTACTAGTATGTCTTACCTATTGTACTAGTGTGGTGTGCACTTGCAGATGTCCGATTAAGCACAAGACTAATATCTACATATCCTTGTTAGAAGAGTGGGGTATTTATGGTTAATAAGAGAGAAAAACTGCATTAATCTGCTATCATACTATCAATCAAATCATACTAATTTCTATTTAAACTACTAAAAGAACTAGTGTTTATTATCTCCTTTCTATATCCCATATAGTCTTTGAGAAATATAAACCCAATTGTAGAGTAAACAACTAATTAACAAATTCGAATTTGTCCTTGAATCGATTTTTCCAAACGAAAAACAACTTCAGGGCGAAAAACATTTAATTACGGATAACAAAGTCCCTATCCATGAACAAAGAGCCTTCATTAAACCCACAGTCAAAACAACCCCACGCGCGACAGATAAAAAAATAAAAAAACACTGGTACAAACAACCCTTTTCGAAAAACAAAAAAAAAATTAAGACATGCACACATCTATAATATGCGAGTGTGATCCATGTAACTAACGCTCGAAAAAAGGAATAGATAAAGAAAAGGGACAGAGTCGTATGTAAGAACAGGATAGATATTCTCCCCCACAAATATATGGTATATCTATTTGGGATTTTTAATGCGGCGTTGCCATACCTCACGGATAGGGAGGGTCATGGGTTTTGGATGTCCAGCCCCATGCTTAACGCAAGTTTTTTTTCTTTACGGACTCTAGTAGCTCTGGTAGCTTTGTTAAATGTCTCTTGTTCTACAAAAAACAAATGAAATGTTATACTTAAATGTTTTTGCGTCTACCAAAAATTGTATCTTGTGAATCCTTTCACTATTTTTTTTACCAGACTTAGAAAACGAGGTGAGGTTTTCAAATCCTCTGTGTGTTTTTATATTTTGTTCATATTTATTATAGGTTATGTCTTTAATTATATTTTGAAACTATAGATTAGGTATATTCTTAAGTGGTTGTTCATGGAATTTCTCCATAGATAACATTCCATAAACATTCTGACAAGATATACTTTACGACATAAACATAGTGCTTAGGCACAAAAACATTTTTAAGTATTAACTTTCTTATTATTTTTTAAGTCTAGCCTAATCTAGATCATTGACTGGCAACGTCTATTCATCCTGTTTTTTTTTAATTCTTTTTATAAGATACGTACAAAATTACTTTCCTACACCAATCTTACTAATATCATAAATGCGAGAGTTTAGATGTATGTATGGATGTTTGTTAGAGTTTGTAGCCTTAACGGCTGAACTCATATCGATGAAATTTGGTATAGATGTAGAGGATATTCTGGAAGAACACATAGGTTACTCACTTTTGTTTTTTTAAGTCCACACGGACGGAGTTGCGGGCGAAAGCTGGTAAATCTATATTTCTTTGTCTTTACCTGTAACTGTACCCCAGTGCACTTTAAATGTTAGAAAATAAAATTAAAAAAGCTGTAATATTAAAAGTGACAAAGTATTCGACGTTTGCAACTTGATAGCCAGGAAGGAAACACCGTCAATGCGTCACTTGGTACCAAGTTGTAATACTCACTACCATTTAATGTAACTGTTAAGTTGTTTATTTAAGCTATGCTTAAAAACCCTTTAAATTAATTTAAATACAGTTTACAGAGTATTAAACTTACAGAGAAAACATTTACATTTAACCAGCTGTTGCATTCGACTTCGTCAGCTCGGAATTAATAAAAAAATTGTTAGGTAGTCTAGTGTTGCCCAGACTAAATTTCAACATCTACATCCTTTGTATATCCTCTATATGACTTACAGCAGAAACAAATGAAATTGGTGATTTTACAGTATGACATTTGGCCCATTACAAGAGGAAGAGAAAGACCGAAGAAAGTATGGATGAATTGTGTGAAAGAGGATATGCTTAAGAAAGGAGTGGATTCAGATATGACGGCTGATAGAAATGCATGGAAGAGCAGCACATACTGTGCCGACCCTACGTAAGGGATAAAGGCAAGTTGATGATGATGATTTGGTCTATTACAATAATTTTTAGGCTCTTGGACTATTACTATATGTCATAACTAAGTGCATCTATCTTTACTAAACTTCGTTCTGATCAAGGCACAACAATACATAGATTGAGATAGACTAGTGCAATGTATATATTTATATGACCTACTTACGTTTACTTATACCTAACTATATTAATACTGATGTGCAGGTGATGTCATTCGTGATTATCTTGAATGGAAATAGATAATTCATCGTAATGATATGGAATTTTCAATGTAAATCAGCCACAGGATGGTCCTTCGAGTCGGATATATATTTTGTTTTTAATTTAGAAATTGTTGCAAATAGTAACGTCTTTTGGTGTTTCATTTTTAATACGTTTTGAAATTTGCATTAATAAAGATATCAAAGCAATCATAATTAAAAAAAAAACACATTGTAGTCTGAAGAATAGCTTCTTATTTAGAATTATTAAAGACTAGCTTTCGCCCGCGACTTCGTCCGCGTGGATTTCAAAAAGACAAAAGTTAGTAGCCTATGTGTTCTTCCAGACTATCCTCAACGTCTATGCCAAATTTCATCGAGATCCGTTCAGCCGTTTAGGCGACAAACTCTAACAAATATCCATCCATCCATCCATCTAAACTTTCGCATTTATTATATTAGTTAGTAAGAAGTATGATAGCTTTTCATAGCACCCTCTATAATACGTAGTTATTAAGGGTTGCTATACACGGCCAGCATCGAGCGGTCGACAGTAGTAACTACAAGCCGTAACACTACTGAAAGCACAACTAGAACGCGTGTATCATATCTGCCAGTTGCCAAGGTGACGCAAGCGGTGCGTCTGCAGCATGCCGCACGCCGACGCACGTCACGGCCAACCTGACGTATGAATTAACAGGGTTGCTATATACAAGTAAAATTCCCTACAAATTTTATATTTTGGGAATAATTTCATGTACCTTGATGGATGAATTTTTAACCTGAACATTGTATTCATATGAATAAGTTCAAGAAATCACTCATGAGAATTTAGGTCATAAAGTAGTAAGTAAATTGGTTAAGTTACAATTATTATATAAACTTTGTAAATGCATAAAAAAATGCCTTCAATTTGCTAACGAATATAACTTAATAATAACTTAAATGACACAATTTTTTTTGTGTATTTTATATACGTATGATAATTTCATGTTTAGATAATCTATTTTTTAAATAACATTACGCCCATGATCCAGATTTAAAAAAATGTATATTTGAATATAAAATATTCAAAATATTTACATTACAATATAAGACTAATATTAGTGCTTTTGTTTTAACGGATATCAAACGTTATAGAAAATGTAGTAAGTTAAAAATAGTTTCTTAAATATCACAGTTTAACTTTGTTAGAGTTTTAGGAACTATCGTTGTGCACACTAGTTGCTTGTCGTCATAATACTGTTGGTAACAACTACATTAAAATGTACTAAACATTTTAAAGTAGTATTTTATTCTCATATACATTTCAATTTTACATTTAATATTAAAAGTCTGTAATTGAAATCAATTCTTTAACGTATAAAAACATTATTTTCAGTTATTACGAATCTCGTTATTGTAAAAAAAAAGTAGTGTTGTTTTAGAATTGATGTTAGGTCACGATATACTTAAGTAGAAAACCGCAGCATTTTTCTTTTATTTCCTAGCCTTGTACAAATGTACTTATTTTCTTCGATAATCAATTTAAACTGATTTAAATACCTTTTTGTCTTGTATGGGTTGACATCGATCGTCGAACGTGTAGCTTTTAGGTTATAAAGATTGCGCGGGCGCAGTGGACGCTGCAAGGCCACGCGACGTCCCAACATGGCCGCCGAGCTCGCCCGCGCCACTTCTACAGATAATATTATGTGCCAACCAGTTTGGAAATTTTGAGTTTAAAAAGAAAAAGTATGGAAAAATATCCTCCATTACTTTTATAATATTATGATAAACTTTATATGTGCTCCTATGTTTATGGTTCCTAAATAATTTTAAAGAAAATTTCTCTTATAATTTTCTTAATGAAGTAGCAGTTTTTAATGAAAGTAACAAAACGGTATTTAAATTGAATAATCTATGAGTATTTCGAAAGTGTTGTGTTAAAAGAAATTTTCACTTTTAATTTCTGCTCATCGTAATTTTTTTTCTTATGCTCTTTAATTTGATAAGTAGGTTAAACTACCATAGAGTGCAAATTAATAATTTAAA